AACACTTCTGTCCTCCTCTCCTTCTTGCTATCTCCCGTCGCTCTCGGAATACTTTTCCTTTTTATATTTTTCTTCTTCTGTGGTTAGTCATATTCACTCTGACTGTTGTTTCTTCTTCTGTGGTTAGTCATGTTCACTCTGACTGTTGTTTCTTCTTCTGTGGTTAGTCATATTCAATCTGACTGTTGTTTCTTCTTCTGTGGTTAGTCATGTTAACTCTGATTTATTTTTGAGGAAATGCTCCAAACCGAAGGCAGATCGATCCAGCTTCCTGTGTGTCTTCCAGGTGTGCTTTTATGTGCTTTCGGACAAATCTTCAGTTCCCCAATGGGTCTTTTTTTAATACTCTTGTAGATTATTTGGGGGAATTTACTGTAATCCCTTTAATTTCCTCTGAACAAAGCTAATTTGATCATCCCGTTCAGGCTTGTGTGCTGCATTAAGTCTTCATTTTCATTAATGTCGAGGGCGCAGCACGGGAATCTCATTTTAATTTGACATTTCAGCATCTGGTTTCAATTTCCCCAGGAAAGAAAAAGTGTGTGTGGGTGTATGTGTGTGTGTGGTGGGGGTGGGGGGAACCCATGAGTTTGGGGAGCAGAGGGGGCTAGTTGAAGACCTTCTCTAATGGAGTCTCCACTGTAAGAGATGATCATAGTTAATTGAGTTAGCCTGTGCTCAGCCCCAGTGTGCTACTGTGGACCTGGGGAGTGATTTGGCAGGTCTGTACAGTTACAGCAGAGCCAGACCCAGGCAGAGCCTTGAAGATGTTTCCCATTGCAGACCAGACAGAAGCCTTGCAGCATCCTACCAATGGCTGCTCTCTCCTCAGCTTAGCTGTCTGTCAAAATGATAGGGAGGAGCCCTGTTAAGATGAGACTTTTCTCTTAATCAACAACTAATTGAAACACATTGTTACACCATTCTGAACAGGGAAAGATAGCAAATTGATTAGCACACACAATTTCTGTAATACTTATATTTTATTGCGGACAATATTGTTTTCTAAAAAGATAGTAGTAGGGGTTCCATGTTTACGTTTTACAGATATTTTATAGCCATAGAGAATACCTTCCAATGCCTTTAGAAATACACTGTCTGACTGACAGTCTGCTGTTGGCTCCCATCATCACATCAGCAGCACATTGAGTAAAGCCAGAAAGGACAAAGAGGAGTCTTCATGCTGGGACATGTGTGACTCTAGCCCATACCCACATATTAAGACATGCAGGGTACACACACACACACACACACACACACACACACACACACACACACACACACACACACTGTGCTTGGCCTCCCTGTTAATGGCCCAGGAAACAATATCTGGTAGGGGACAGCTGTAGGCTCACAGGAGGGAGGGAGGGAGGGAGGGAGGGAGGGAGGGAGGGAGGGAGGGAGGGAGGGAGGAAAGGAGGGAAGGAGGGAGGGGCAGAAACAGAATGGCAGTGGAGGCTCATTATTCCAAAAACGTCAGGCCAGCACACAGCAGAGCCCTCCCTCCCTCCCCCCGTTCCAATCAGGACAGGGACAGAGGATCTCACAGAGAGAAAAGGAAACCAGAGGCAGCCTCTCTTGGCAGGGCTCCGGATCTGACTGGGGTTCTGGCGAAAGAGTTAGAAGCTTGCTCCAGTCCCTCATCCTTTTCTCGCTCTTTCTCTATTTATTTCCCCCTCTCCAACTCTCTCTTGTACGATTATGTTTCTCCCCATGCAGGTGGCCAGGGTTGTCCGCTGCACTGTGTGATGTGCAGTAGTGTTTGTTGAGGAAAGTTGTCGGGGGGGAAGGAGAGAGGACTGCGAGCCAGGCGGGGGAGTGAGGGATGTAGAGGAGGAGTGGAGGTCACTGGGTTGTGTTGCTGTAAATACTAAAGGATGCCAGCTCTCACTTGGCCTTCCTCTCTCTCTCCTTCTCTCCCCTTCTCTCTCTCCCTCCATCTCTCTCCATCCCCAGGGAGAATCCAGTTATAAGTCTCTCTAGTCTCCTCTCCTCTAGTGTTCTCTAGTCTCCTCTCCTCTAGTGTTCTCTAGTCTCCTCTCCTCTAGTGTTCTCTAGTCTCCTATCCTCTAGTGTTCTCTAGTCTCCTCTCCTCTAGTGTTCTCTAGTCTCCTCTCCTCTAGTGTTCTCTAGTCTCCTCTCCTCTAGTGTTCTCTAGTCTCCTCTCCTCTAGTGTTCTCTAGTCTCCTGTCCTCTAGTGTTCTCTAGCTGAGGAGTGTGTCTCTCTTTATGTAGCCTTGCTAATGTTTGGAGTGTGAATAGCTATCTTTCAGTGGGAGGACCTTGAGGCACTTATCAAGGCTTTGACTCACACAACATCTCTAAATCAGGATATGTCGATCCGGCTGGCCTTGCCTGTACAGATGGAGCCAGTGTTCCTGTACAGATGGAGCCAGTGTTCCTGTACAGATGGAGCCAGTGTTCTAATGAAGCTGATGTTGATGTTTGCGTCCTCCTGTCAGCGGGACGACCCTGTCTGTTTTGACCTGCGCTCATGAGCACATTCACAACTCAGCTGGACTGTTGCTAGGCTATGTGGAGGAGTAGGAGTATTTTGCCCAGCTATAAATAAATATGTGTTTTGTGAAAACAATACTTTACATTCCTTTTGCACACCTGCATTTCCATGGAGACTCTATATTGTTATCAACAACGCTTCTGACTATCAATAAGACATAAGAAATATACAAATATCATTGCTTTAGAGTCAGGTATACCACATGTGGAGACCTGTGTTGTGATGGGGGTCATACAGTGTTCTGCGGCTGTACATGAGAAGGTGTTGGGTCCCCTGATTTATCTAGAGAAGCCTGAAGAAACCATTACCTCCCATATATCTCCCTCTGAAAACCAATTCCTACAGGGGGATTGGGTTCCCCTCCCCTCTGCCATACAGAAACCCCCTCCCTCATGCTGTGAAGTTACAAGAAGTAGGCAGAGAGAGGGGTATCTCAGCTCGGTGCAGCGATGGCCAATTAAGTGCTTAAAGGGTTTAGGCAGGAATTTGTTGGCTGTCAGGAGGTTGATGTTTCCTGGCGTGAGCCTGTCTTTGATCTGTGTGGGGCGGAGGGAGGGTGAGGAGGTGACTAAAAGCAGGTTCAGGGGGAGTAGGTTGGAGGGAGGTACACCATGGTGACTAGGAGCAGGTTCAGGGGCGTGAGACAATGAGATGGTGGGAGAGGAGAAGATTCTGGTCGTATTCCACACACACATTCACATGTGTGCACACACACACACACACACACACACACACACACACACACACACACACACACACACAGACAAACACACAGTCACACAGATTCAGAAACTCTCTCTCTCACACACACACACACATACACCTTCACATGAGTATAGACACGTACACACACATGCATGGCTCACATACAAACACTCATAAACTCATACCCAGTACCATCATACACAGGCACACATTGTGCTGACCTTGCATACTTTAGGCTGACTAGAATTTCAGCCTGCAGTTTATGAGAACATGTTTTTTAAGTGTGTGTACAGACTGATACTCCTGAACTGGCACGCCGTCTGAAGATGGGAGGTTGTTGGTTTTTCATTACATTCTTTCCTCTCGTAAATCTCTCCAGTTTATCTTCAACACTACTGCTGGGGAGGCAGAGAGGCTTTAGCTAGGCTCTGACCCTCTGATAGCAGGCCACACCCCCATCCCGCCTCTCAGCTTTACAACGCTGCTGTGACATAGATACTATCCCAATTGTTACTGGACAGAGTTACTGGGGCATACATTTTATAGAGTGCTTAGTGCACTACTTTTTATGAGAAATCTAGGCAAAGGTAGTACACTTTGTAGAGTATAGGATGTGGTTTGTGTTCTATTCCTATAGTCTAGATAAAGAACACTGTCTCTAATGTCCGTGGTGTTTATATGATGCAGTCAGGCTGAATGAGACAGCTCACGGATCATTTGTTCCCATTAAAACTGCATTTCCCTCTGTCACATTAAGTCAGCCCTGTTGTTCTTATCCATTAGACATTAGACCGGGATGCACAAGCTCCTATACCCCCCACACTAATGGCCCTTTTAGCTGGGAAAATGCATCTCTGAGTGTCTATAAGAGTGGGTTTGATGCCAGCGAGAGGAGTGTTGTACTTGTACATTACAGCGCTTCCCAGAAAATCAATACAGATGAGAACCCTGTGCAACAGCAGTGTTTAATGTGGACATACCTGTAGATGGGTTGGAATGCAAATATATGCTCCATCAGCCAGTGTCATGGTTGGGCGATAAAGAGGAAGTGAAAGTGACGTGATGAAAGGTGATGATAAGGAGGGGACGAGGTGTGTGTCTGGTTGGGGACGAGGTGTGTGTCTGGTTGGGGACGAGGTGTGTGTCTGGTTGGGGACGAGGTGTGTGTCTGGTTGGGGACGAGGTGTGTGTCTGGTTGGGGACGAAGTGTGTGTCTGGTTGGGGACGAGGTGTGTGTCTGGAGGCGTGTCTTATACCCCATGACGGTGTGTGTCACACACACTCATTAGGCTGACACAGAGAGAGAGTGTGATGTGGTAAATGGGGAGATGGTAGGTCAAAGCAATTCTTATGTGTGGATGCACACATGTTTATCACCCTTGGTGTACAGCTCATTGTCAACAAGGCCTTGTGGGTAGGGGAAGACAATCTGTGGCCAGTGGTCCAGCCGTTCGTGGTATGACAATCCCTGGTCCTGTATAGTCTCCTCTGATAGAAGTGATCACTGCGGCCAGGTCCACGTTGTGACGGATCGGTGACAGTCCCCAATTATAGGTTATGGTAACACTGTGGTAGTTTCCTCTTGTCATTATGTTGTTGCTGTAGATCAGTGTTGTGGTCTGTAGATGACACAATGCATCTGAGCGAGGCATGTCAAATCTACTTTCCTGTCTAACTGGAGTGACTGGTTTTGGTGTTATTAAACCCTTCGTGTCAAAGCTGATCTCTGCCGGTGCTGACCTCACGTTAACCCTTTCTCTCCCCTCTATTTCTGCAGTACTACGCGATGACTTCAGACAGAACCCTGCCGATGTGATGGTGGCAGCGGGCGAGCCTGCAGTCCTAGAGTGTATGCCCCCTCGCGGGCATCCTGAACCTAGCATATCCTGGAAGAAGGACGGTGCCAACATCGATGACAGAGATGAACGAATCACTGTGAGTGGAACTGGTTCTGTGTGTGTGTGTGTGTGTGTGGGTGTGTTTGTGTGTGAGATTGTGCTGTTATGTTCATCAAAGTATTTTATACCATATTAATGTTAGTGTAAACCTTACATTGATTGATTTGTCCCATGTTGTTTCACCAATAGTGATTTATAACTCCAAATCAGCAAACTGCGGTTATTCTAACATTTAATGAAGCGAGACTCATAATTAGTCTTGATTCATTAGTCAAGCAGCACAACATTGGTTAGGATCCTGCTGAGTAAGATCAGCCAGTAGAACAAACACTCACTACTATGATGAAATGAAAAAGTTTATGAAAAAGAGTTGATCTCCGCAGTGCTGAGGGAGTGGAAACTTTCCTTCTCTATCTGATTTATATAGTGTTCAAGGCCAGCCGCCAATTAGTCTGTTTTGATTCAGAGTGCAGTGCAGGGAGCAGCAGTATCAATCACCCCCCTGCTGCTGCTGAGTAGAGCAGTGGATAGCTGACCTTGATGGGCCCACTGTCTCCACCATATACCTGTCTGCACTTTGCCTGTAGATAGTCGTGTGTTTGATCACTCTGACTGGCTTAGTGTGTAGGGTGGATGGAACTTCAGTCACCTTATAGGGATGGCCAGCAGGCCCTGAAGGGATCAGTAAGGATGATTAACCAGGCCCTGAAGGGATCAGTAAGGATGATTAACCAGGCCCTGAAGGGATCAGTAAGGGTGATTAGCCAGGCCCTGAAGGGATCAGTAAGGATGATTAACCAGGCCCTGAAGGGATCAGTAAGGGTGATTAGCCAGGCCCTGAAGGGATCAGTAAGGGTGATTAATCAGGCCCTAAAGAGATCAGTAAGGATAATTAACCAGTCCCTGAAGGGATCAGTAAGGATAATTAACCAGTCCCTGAAGGGATCAGTAAGGATAATTAACCAGTCCCTGAAGGGATCAGTAAGGATAATTAACCAGTCCCTGAAGGGATCAGTAAGGATGATTAACCAGGCCCTAAAGGAATCAGTAAGGGTGATTAGCCAGGCCCTGAAGGGATCAGTAAGGGTGATTAATCAGGCCCTAAAGGGATCAGTAAGGATAATTAACCAGTCCCTGAAGGGATCAGTAAGGATAATTAACCAGTCCCTGAAGGGATCAGTAAGGATAATTAACCAGTCCCTGAAGGGATCAGTAAGGATGATTAACCAGGCCCTGAAGGGATCAGTAAGGGTGATTAGCCCTGAAGGGATCAGTAAGGGTGATTAATCAGGCCCTAAAGGGATCAGTAAGGATAAGTAACCAGTCCCTGAAGGGATCAGTAAGGATGATTAACCAGTCCCTGAAGAGATCAGTAAGGATAATTAACCAGTCCCTGAAGGGATCAGTAATGATAATTAACCAGTCCCTGAAGGGATCAGTAAGGATGATTAACCAGTCCCTGAAGGGATCAGTAAGGATAATTAACCAGGCCCTGAAGGGATCAGTAAGGGTGATTAGCCAGGCCCTGAAGGGATCAGTAAGGGTGATTAATCAGGCCCTAAAGAGATCAGTAAGGATAATTAACCAGTCCCTGAAGGGATCAGTAAGGATAATTAACCAGTCCCTAAAGGGATCAGTAAGGATAATTAACCAGTCCCTGAAGGGATCAGTAAGGATAATTAACCAGTCCCTGAAGGGATCAGTAAGGATGATTAACCAGGCCCTGAAGGGATCAGTAAGGGTGATTAGCCAGGCCCTGAAGGGATCAGTAAGGGTGATTAATCAGGCCCTAAAGGGATCAGTAAGGATAATTAACCAGTCCCTGAAGGGATCAGTAAGGATAATTAACCAGTCCCTGAAGGGATCAGTAAGGATAATTAACCAGTCCCTGAAGGGATCAGTAAGGATGATTAACCAGGCCCTGAAGGGATCAGTAAGGGTGATTAATCAGGCCCTAAAGGGATCAGTAAGGATAAGTAACCAGTCCCTGAAGGGATCAGTAAGGATGATTAACCAGTCCCTGAAGAGATCAGTAAGGATAATTAACCAGTCCCTGAAGGGATCAGTAATGATGATTAACCAGTCCCTGAAGGGATCAGTAAGGATAATTAACCAGTCCCTGAAGGGATCAGTAAGGATAAATAACCAGTCCCTGAAGGGATCAGTAAGGATGATTAACCAGTCCCTGAAGGGATCAGTAAGGATAAATAATCAGTCCCTGAAGGGATCAGTAAGGATAAATAACTAGTCCCGGCTGAATGGATCAGTAAGGATAATTAACCAGTCCCTGAAGGGATCAGTAATGGATAATTAACCGTTCCTGAAGGGATCAGTAAGGATAATTAACCAGTTCCCTGAAGGGATCAGTAAGGATAATTAACCCATTAGTCCCCTTGAAGGGATCAGTAAGGAGTGATTAACCAGGTCCCATGAATGGGATAGTAAGGATAATTGAAGCCAGTTCCCTGAACTGGATCAGTAAGGATGATTAACCCAGTCCCTGAAGGGATAGTAGATAAGTAACCAGTCCACTGAAGGGTATCAGTTAAGGATGATTAAACCAGGTCCCTGAAGAGATCAGTAAGGATAATTAACCAGGTCCCTGAAGTGGATCAGTAAGGATGATCAACCAGTTCCCTGAAAAGGGATTCAAGTAAGGATGATAAACCAGTCCCATGACGGGATCAGTAAGGATAATTAACCAGTCCCCCTGATGAGATCAGTAAGGATAATTAACCAGTCCCTGAAGGGATCAGTAAGGATGATTAACCAGTCCCTGAAGAGATCAGTAAGGATAATTAACCAGTCCCTGAAGGGATCAGTAAGGATGATTAACCAGTCCCTGAAGGGATCAGTAAGGATGATTAACCAGTCCCTGAAGAGATCAGTAAGGATAATTAACCAGTCCCTGAAGAGATCAGTAAGGATAATTAACCAGTCCCTGAAGGGATCAGTAAGGATAATTAACCAGTCCCTGAAGGGATCAGTAAGGATAATTAACCAGTCCCTGAAGGGATCAGTAAGCCAACGCTACAGTATGGTCTGATTAGGACAATTAACAGCAAACTGCAATTCTGTTTACATAAAGACAACTAGCAGTAATTAGAAAGATGTTCCTCCTCTGTGCGTTGTCATGACACTGTGCTCCTCTCTGGGCTGTTGTTGTTACATACAGCTGAAACAGCTTAATCCTCAGCCCAGAACACCCGGCCATCAATGTGTTCAGCACTATTGACATGACTGAACACTGTCTGAGGGTGTTGGCTTAATCACAGTTCTAACTCATAAACAGTGTGAGAGCCCGTCCCCCGCCTTCAGCCGCCTGCTAGCTGCACCGGGGGAAGATGAAAAATGAAGTGCCTGGCAGTTTCACAGAAATTGAATCAATTCATATATGTCTCTGAATTCAGTCAGCAGTTACTGATAAGCACACAGCCTCTGCATCAACCTCGGAGCTAGATTATTGACTGTGGTTGCACGTGCACAACATTACATGTTTATGTGTGCATGTGTGTGTGTGTGTTTTGTGTGTCTGTGTAACTTTGTTGGGACCTGTCATTTCTCCCCGTGTGAGAACAAAGCCTGCTCTCTCCTGTCATCAGGGTTGCTTCACTCACAGACACCTGGCCCATAATGCCACTCCCCTGACCCAGTCCCAGAACACAGTCACTCTCAGGCTCAGTCAGGCTGACACACACACACACACACGCACACACACACACACACACGCACACACACACACACACACACACACACACACACACACACACACACACACACACACACACATAAAAACACACACCCAGTGATCATAGGTGTGTATAACTGCCCAGTGATCATAGGTGTGTATAACTGCCCAGTATCATTGGTGTGTTTAACTACACCTGGCCTTTCCCATAATGAAGTTGCACTCTGTTTAAACAGAACACACATTTTGCTAGCCCTGCTGTTTATAAGCTGTTTCCACAATAACGTCCTCTCTGTGTTGTGTTTGTCATTGTGTTCAGTGATGTGTGAAATCGGATTGTAAACCAGTATTTGACTGGTGCTGTCCATAGCCTGAATTCTGCAGAGCTGGGCCTTGGGAGGGAATGATAACACACAACAACCGTCTGGGTAGGGAGAGATTTAACAGTGCTTTGTGGGATGTGTCCCTTCCTCTAAAGTGCCTGGGTAGGACGAGGACTCACAGAATGACTGGTCCCACATGGACACTTAAAATGGCTGTACACATAAACCAGGACCATGCATGTGTAATAGAATGTGCTGACAGATGGGACGATGGATGGCCTGATAGGTGAATGCCAATCGAAAGCAGAGCGGTGTCCGGTGCTGTATGCCCATCAGAGTGTGTGTGTCAGTGGCATGATGTTAGAGCTGAGGCTGGGCCAGAGTGAAGATGGGTTGGGACAGGGAAGAGATGAGAGGTGACGGGAGGACATTCAAGGCTTTATAATGTGGATAACAGCTGAGGAGGCTCCTCCTCCACCACCCTACGTGGTTTTGACCTTGTTTCCCCTCCACTGGATGTGTTGGAACGTCTCCCTGGCGATGGTAGTCCCCTTACCCACCTGCGGTTGGTATTTGCTGTGTGGTGCTATGCTTTGCCAGGTTGTGCTGGGAAGGGATGGGATGGATTGGGATGGATTGGGCTGGGATGGGCTGGGCTGGGATGGGCTGGGCTGGGCTGGGCTGGGCTGGGCTGGGCTGGGCTGGGCTGGGCTGGGATGGGCTGTGATGGGCTGGGATGGGATGAGATGGGCTGGGATGGGATGGGCCTTAAAATGGAACAGAACAAAAAGGCATCCAGCTCAACAGTTTGAGGCTAAACTAAACCGATGTTGGTGTATGGAGGGAACCAGCCAGCTGGGACGGAAGGCAGACATGTCGTGCATTGTGTTCCCCTTCCTTTGTTTAGTAGTTGAGGGTGATTATCGGCCTGGAAAATGAAATGCAGCATGAATGCAGCCACAACGCGTGCTGAATCAGGGTTTCACACTATCAGCATTACCAAATGACGGGAGACAAAAAACAGTGTTGGGATAGGGCCATCTCCCTGTGATGCAGGATAATGGTCAGATTGTTGCTGCCTTCAGCAGCCCCCTGGAGGGGATATACACAGAGACAAAGAGAGGTGCAGAGAGAAAGGAAGGCCTCTCCATTCACACTGGGCCACTCCAGAGGCCCCCGCTGGCCAGGCACAACAAATATGCCTGAGCAGAATGGGACAGTGCCACCTCCACGCAGAGGTGGGAAAACTGATGGAGTGCTTTGGCCCTGAAAGTGGATCCTCATATCAACGCCCTATGGGACCTCCAGTCCACCTCCCTCTACCTGCCCTGCGTTTGTCTGACCTGACCTGACCTTGGGCCTTTGTGATTGTCCCAGTGCTTTAGCTTTTAAGCCCTCCCTCAAACAAACAGTAACATAATGAGACTTCAAACCCCCTGGTCCTCTATGGTGACGGTGTGCCCCTTCTATTCCCTTCCTCTCCTTTCCCATGTTTTTACGATGTATATTAAACCGCGACGAGGGTGAGATGGGGCCCCGGAATTCCTCAGAACCCCTGAGTAATCAGTGGAGTGTATTCATGGATGCCAAGGAAAGCCAGGCTTCCCCCCAAAAATTTTTTACCAATAAATGTTTTTAAATAAAATACAATAATTTATCTTTAGTCTCTCTGTGTTTCATCATTTTCCTTCAATTCGCAAGAGGCTGGTATGTATCTCACAGGAGAAAGCATCCGAGCGAGCGAAACAGCGCCCCTCTGTCTCTCTATGTGTAGCTCATCTATCTGATGCTGTCTGGTCCAAACGGGCATGACATTGTTGCCGCCCGTAGCATTGAAGGCAAGGGAAGCCAGCGAGCATCTGGCCTCCCTTGGCGAAAAAAGTATAAAAATTAGCCAATTAGCGTTGAGCTAAACTGAGCGAGCTCAACTGTGAATGGTCCTGGCGCACCAAAAAAAAAAAGTGTCAAGGGAAGCCAGTTTGTTGACTTCACTGGACAGAGGGCGCTATCCAGTTTTGTGATAAAACAAAGGTGTGGTTGAATTTACGCTGTCACTGTGTCTTCTTATTGTCTTGGCCTTTAGGCCTATATATCACGGTCGCAAGGCATACGAACTAACAGGTTATAGAGGGTGCTTGGCTTCCCCAGTGATTTTACCCACGCACCGCTACTGTGAGGAATGTGTCCGGTCGTGAAGTAGGGTGGAGGTGAGGGGTCCCTGGAGGACCCTTGTCCTTCCGCTGGCAGGCCGGCTGGCTGCTTATTTAAGTGGAGGAGAGAGAGTGGAGGGTTTTTTTTGTTTGTGGGGGGATTTATTAGTTGTGGCGTTTAGAAGGCCTCTCCCTGTCTACTCCATCCAGACGGGCTATTAAGCTATACGCCACAGATGGGATGGGTTGTTCCACTGAGAACCTTCTGACATTCTATTTCTATATTCCCCTGTTCTTAGAACCTGTCATTCCCCTACCTAGCAGACGTCATGTGGATTGTTTTGCTCATGAACAAGGTGTCACTCTTCATTGGGCTGCTGTGATAATTAAAGTGAGGCTCCATTCCCATGGAGTGTTGACCACAGTTAATTAGATTTAGTGATACGTTACATAGTGTGTCATAAAGTGAATACATGTGTAGGAGTGTATTTGAATGAAGGAAGCCAGTGAAAGGCAGCAGGTTTGGGGCTCTTTCGCAATGCTGTGTGGGGCTACCCCCTTCAACTCCCCCCTACCTACACACACCCCCAACGTACACACACACACACACAAACACACACACCCCTACACACACACCCAACATACATAGCACACACACACAAACCCCTACACACACATCCAATGTACGTAGCACACCCCTACACACACGCACACACACACACACACACACACACACACACACACACACACACACACACACACCTCAGTGGGTCTTTAATAAAGGGATCTGTTACAGGCCTGGGGGTGGGGGTCTGTCTTCTTGTCGGCTGAGGTGTGTAACCCTTAAACCCTTAAGCAGCCTTGGAGCAGGCAGATCAGTGGTGCCCCTGGTATTGTGTGCTGCTACTCTGACAGCATGGCTGTCAGCTGACAAGGACCTGAGAGGGGCCGGGCTGCCTCACCCAGTGTCTGAGAACAAAGCACCTCCCCTGGCCTGTAATCAAAGCCCTGGGATATAACAGCCATCACACCCACCTTGTCCTGGACACAAAACACACCTTTTGGAGTGTGTGTGTGTGTCTGTGTGTGTGTGTGTGTGTGTGTGTGTGTGTGTGTGTGTGTGTGTGTGTGTGTGTGTGTGTGTGTGTGTGTGTGTGTGTGTGTGTGTGTGTGTGTGTGTGTGTGTGTGTGTGTGTGTGTGTGTGTGTGTGTGTGTGTGTGTGTGTGTATGCATGTGTTAGTATCTGTCTCTGTGTGTGTGTGCATGAGAAAACTCAAGTAAAAGCTCAATTTACTTCTTGTCTGGATTCCTCTCCTCAGTACGGTAGGGGAGTTTGCTGTGCTGGAAGTAAGTTGTGGCTGGAGTAATGCTTCCACTCTTCCCTGCCTCAGGTGTTCCCTGGAGGGAACTGTGGCTTTCTAGGTTTGGGGAAGTGATGTTTGGCCAGGCGGGCCCTGAGCAGGAACAGACTGTCTTAGAAATCCATACAAACCACAGGTGGAATGAGAATAGCATAGAATGGTTGGATAGGTAGTATAGTACTGTCACTGGGACCGCAGGACATACATGGTTCACTAACATTCATTTGTGAGTTTATACTCCAATCAAAACATGACAGATGGAGTTTTATTGAACTCTGAATGCCTTTGGTCATGGTTGTGTAAAGACTCATAACTCCATGGGGTGAGGAAATACAACGCTTTTATACTGAGAGAATGTTTTGCAATGTTAGGCGTGCAGTTTTGTGTTCCCTCTATGACACCCCAGGGCCATCTGTCTCTGGTTGATTACAGTGCGTCTCCTCTGTCCTCTCAAGGGCTAACCTCTCATCTCTCTCGTTCCTCTCATTCCTCAGATCCGGGGAGGAAAGCTGATGATAACCAATGCCAGAAAAAGCGACGCTGGGAAGTATGTGTGTGTCGGAACCAACATGGTGGGAGAGAGGGAGAGCGAGATCGCTGAGCTCACTGTGCTCGGTAAGTAACCGTCCTTCCTCACACACACTCACCCTCTCTCTCCCTGTCTCACTGTTTGTTTGTGTACAGCGGTGAAGAAGGTCCAGATGTTTCGGTTTGTGTGTGTCTCCAAGGAGACTAAACAGTGTCATTGACCCCTTCAAGAGGGGTGTGACATGGCCTTCGCTCTAACAGTTAACCATGAACTCCCCCAGGCACCCCACACCCCTCTACTGACCCCCCTTTCCCCCTTCCCCTACTGACCCACCTCAGCACCTCTCCTCTGGCCAGCTGATCCCCATTCCACCATGACTGACCTTTGACCCCACAGCTCTCCGTTGCCTCAGTTTATAGTCTCAGTATAGACCTCTGTATTGACCTCAGTCGGCTGAACTTCTGACTGTCCTCTCCACTTCCTCTACTTCCTGTCCCCCTAGGCCTCTTACCATCCTCTCCAACAGGGCCCACGCCAACATGCACATATTCTTCTTTCCATCATTATATATGGAAATCATACTGAGATGGTTTCAAAGGGCACAGTCCATACCTATAGCTTTGCCTGTTTGAGTAAACATCACACCAGAAAAACTCACGACAGCCCCAGGCACTTACTGAGCACTTTTTCAAGCCAATACTGAAGGGGGTGTGAGGAGGGAGGGGATGTGAGGAGGGAGGGGATGTGAGAGCAGAGAGGAGGGAGTGAGGGTAGAGAGCAGAGAGAGGAGGAGAGGGAGAAGAGAGATGAGGAGAGGGAGGGGCCCGTCTTTTAGCGGTCCCGTTATAGTTCTCTGCTCGCTCTGGCTCTCGGTGCAGCTCGCTCCGCTCTGCTCTTCTGAGTCTCTCGTCTCGGCTCGTGGCGTGGTGTGCCGGCTCCCGCTGCTTTGTACTTTCCTCTGGGCTGCGAGGCGCCTTCTACTCTCTTTCTTTCGTTGTCGCGTCTCTCGCCTCTTCTTCCTTTCTCCTTATCTTTTCTTTCTGTCCTCTTCTCTCTCTCTTCTCTCTTCTCTCTTTTCTCTCTGCTCCTCTCTTCGTCCTGCTTCTCGCTCCTTTTACTTTCCTTCTCTCTCTGGTCTGCTCGTTCTCTCGCCCTCGCTCGAGTCTCCTCAGAGAGTCCTCTGGCGTCGGTTCTTGGCGCTCAGTCGAGTGTTGCTTTAATTCCGCCTGCTCTGCTATCCTCTACTCTCTATTTTTCTCGTTTCTCAGGTTGCTTGTAGGCTTGCTCTTTGTCAGAGGAGTAGTAGCTCAGTTGGTAGAGAGGATAATAAGATGCATGTAGCGCATGGCGTCTTGCGGGTTTGGGTTCGATTCCCACGGGGGGCCAGTTATGAAAAATGTATGCACTCACTACTAACTGTAAAGTCGTTTGGATAAGAGTGTCTGCTAAATGACTAAAATCTAAAATGTAAGAGAGAGGAGGAGGAAGACATAGAGGAGTAGAGGAGGGATGAGAGGGAGGAGAGTGTTGAGGTGGGAGAGAGTGGACGCAGGTGAACGTGGGGAGGCGTGAGGGGGAGAGGTTTAAACTATTGATCTGCAATTGTTGTAGCCTGTGGGACATATTAAAACAAAACTTGAAGAGAGGTGAATTAAGGATTAAAAACTTGCTAGTGTTCTCTATGGAGAAGGTGTGTGTATAGTGTATTAGTAAGCTGCAGAGGGGATATGGGCTGGAGAGGGAGATGTAGCTGACCTGGACCTGAGGGGCCAGGGGTGGTTAGATGGCTATCTGTTTTGATTTCACAAGCTTTTTTCAACATTCATTTTTATTTCAATCCCTGCTGGAAGGTTAGAGGGATGGAGTGTAACAGCAGACTTTTACAGGACCTCTCAGATCATCAGGACAAAGAGCAACGAGGGTAGCTGTGATTACTAAAACACTCTGTTAATGTTAGCACTGAGACTGCTGCTACAGACTGATCGGCAGGATGGTTCAATCCCAATACAGTGCTAAAGATACAGTATAGTCACATACTATGCTATGATATATATGCTATGCTATACTTAAGCAATAATGCACGAGGGGGTGTGGAATATGGCCAATATACCACGGCTAAGGGCTGTTCTTAAGCACGACGCAACGCGGAGTACCTGGATACAGCCCTTAGCCGTGGTATATTGGTCATATACCTCAAACCCCTGAGGTGCCTTATTGCTATTATAAACTGGTTACCAACGTAATTAGAGCAGTAAAAATAAATGTTTTGTCATACATGTGGTATACGGTCTGATATACTATGGCTTTCAGCCAATCAGCATTCAGGGCTCGAACCACCCAGTTTATAATATACTATACTATCCTGTATAACTGCAGATACAGTGTACTGACATACTGTAGACCTAGTAGTGAATAGTCCTGTGCTATGTCATCTCTCTCTGCAGAGCGACCCAGCTTTGTGAAGCGTCCCGGCAGCCAGGTGGTGCTGGTGGACCAGAGTGTGGAGTTCAGGTGTGAGGCCCGGGGTGACCCAGTTCCCACCGTCCGCTGGAGGAAAGAGGACGGAGACCTGCCCAAGGGAAGGTACTGTACTGTATGACTCATCTTCTGGCCCCCTTTATTACAGCACAATCCCTTTCTCTCCCTCTATTGGATCCCTCGCTTCCCCCTTTGTCTGTCTGATGATCAGCATGTGTGTATTTACAGTAAGGTGTGTGTGTGTGTATGCGTGCGTGTCTGATTCCCTGTGTGTATTCCAGATATGAGATCCGAGAGGACCACACCCTGAAGATCCGTCGTTTGACCTCTGCAGACGTGGGTTCTTACACCTGCGTGGCAGAGAACATGGTGGGCAAGGCGGAGGCATCAGCCACCCTCACCGTCCACGGTAAGATCACACAACTCTGTTACTTACTCTAGTAAAATACTGTACAGGTTTACCAAGGTCAACGCAGCAGTTCACTTGCACAGTCCTGTACACTGTTACGGTCCGTGGTCCTGTTGTCGAGCCTCTATTGATGAAAGGTTGATTGTTCCAGATGTTTCAGTCTCTCTGGTTGTATGGGTTACGGTGAGTTTTAGCACCTTAGATGTAATTTAGCTCAACCGCACTGCAATTATAACACCCAATTCTTGAGCCTGAAAGGTTATTACTTTCACCCATTCTCTCTCAATTAGCTGATTGATTTCTAATAAAGGCGGTCTAAAAATCCATAGAGGCTTTTACACTCTACACATGGGAGCTCAATGATAATCAATTCCATTTGCAGCGAGGACATTCCTTTAGAGGCAGCTCTCTGGTCGTGTTTAAGATATGCTGAATCAGTGGGAGGCCTGTGGGGAGCCTCTGTGTGTCTCTCTCCTTTGGACATCCTATTAACACAGTGAGAATAGAAAGCAGTTATTCACAGAGTGGAAAGGAGTCATTCAGTAGAACAAGGGGGCCTGGATCCCCCCCAACCCTAAACCCCACGCAGGGGGAACACTGGGGTCATTTAGCACCAGGGTAATGGGAATATTGGGGAGCAGAGGGGAGGAGGGGGATAGAAGGTGGTTCAGTGCACAGGAGATGGGGGGATGGAGTCAGGAGGGTGGGGAGGTGTATATTGAGGGGTTGAAGTGACTCACCACTGGAGCAGAACGAGATGGGAATTGAGGTTGGACGAGGTTTGTGTGGTGTGATCAGACGTGTAAAATTGTATTCCCAGCAGTCCTTGACAGCTATAAAGAGACAGGACAAAAATCCGCCCATCACCCCCCACCACCCCCCACCACCACCACCCCCCCTCAGTACCAATACAGAACCCAATCTTCACGTCTGTTCTCTGCCATTATTTATTGCTGCGCTGGATTTCATTGAGGAGCATGATCAGAGCCTCCTTTCAATAACTTCCATCAATAAATCCAGTAATAACTTCATCAATATCCACCAATAACTTCATAAAGATATCCACCAATAACTTCATAAAGATATTCACCAATAACTTCATCAAGATATCCACCAATAACTTCATCAAGATATCCACCAATAACTTCATCAAGATATCCACCAATAACTTCATCAAGATATCCACCAATAACTTCATCAAGATATCCACCAATAACTTCATAAAGATATCCACCAATAACTTCATCAAGATATCCACCAATAACTTCATAAAGATATCCACCAATAACTTCATAAAGATATCCACCAATAACTTCATAAAGATATCCACCAATAACTTCATAAAGATATCCACCAATAACTTCATAAAGATATCCACCAATAACTTCATAAAGATATCCACCAATAACTTCATCAAGATATCCACCAATAACTTCATCAAGATATCCACCAATAACTTCATCAAGATATCCACCAATAACTTCATCAAGATATCCACCAATAACTTCTTTAATATATCCACCAGTGTCTCGAGACCACATATTGAGTGTCTCAGTCTCAGTGTCAGATACTTTTGTAGGCAGCGAGAGTCTGCAGCTCTCAACTGGTTTTGGCATGGAGCAGCTCACAGAAGAATGACATCGGTAGCCAGTAGGGTGGGAAAGACGTTTCAACTCATGATATCTACCAGTAAATGCTAACTAAGGCAACAATGGGTTTGCAAACCAGGTATTGAAAAAGTTTAGTCCGAAGTGTTGGTTAGTAGACTATTTGTGATGTGCAATTGTCATCATGGGCTGTTTGCATCAGGGGCGTAGACATGGATAGGCCTGGGTGGACAGAGGCCCACCCACTGTGGAGCCCACCCAATCAGATTGATCTGGTTTGTGGAGCCCACCCAATCAGATTGATCTGGTTTGTGGAGCCCACCCAATCAGATTGATCTGGTTTAAGCATTGTTGTGGATTTAGACCATCCATTTTTTTTTTTTCTATTTAAAAAAAGTGTGATTTTGAGAGTGAAAATCTATAGGAAAACTCATAGCTGCATAGGGCCGATGGAAGACAGCAGTCACACAGCATGATGTTAAAGGATAAGCAGTCCATCAACTCGGACATAATAAGCCATTAGGTCCCAATCATAAGAATACAAAAACACAACCATTAAGCATTTCCCAATCGAAATGTACAACTATTACTTCCCATTGCAAAAAACATTTCACGTTTAGAGCACAAACTAACCGGTGACCTGAAGTTTAAAGTGGAACTGACAGTGTTTTAACTACTGTGCAATATAAAACAAACAGACAATCATAATATCAGTAAAACATATCAAATTCCCAGTTTATGCTACAAAACCAACTTTATGAGAGGCTTTAAAAATAGGTTATATTTGACCCAGCGTTTCATGACATACACTAAGGTATTGTTGGCAGAATAGATGGATGCAGTTTAATGCATGATTAATATAATTCACCAATACATTTCTTGGTAGTCCAAAAAATATTGCTATCAGGTTCTAAATCACAGCTGGCCTGGTACATTGTTTGCGGCATCCATTCAGGATGCACTGTTTCAGTTTCAATGACTCAATATTCTGGACAGAAACTGAAAAATGTAACTAATGCTGGGATTGTCAATACAATCAAACTAGCATGGGGAATGATCACAAGTCAGTCATAACGTGGCTCATAGGCTAGCGTATCTATTTATGCAGCAAGCTAAAAACTTGAGCCTAACATTAGCTAGATAGCTTGTGTCATTCTCAAAACTTTTGACCACGACTGTACATACAGTTGAAGTCGGGAGTTTACATAAACTTAAGTTGGAGTCATTAAAACTTGTTTTTCAACCACTCCACAAATTTCTTGTTAACAAACTATAGTTTTGGCAAGTCGGTTAGGACATCTACCTTGTGCATGACACAAGTACATTTTCCAACAATTGTTTACAGACATATTATTTCACTTATAATTCGCTGTATCACAAATCCAGTGGGTCAGAAGTTTACATACACTAAGTTGACTGTGCCTTTAAACAGCTTGGAAAATTCCAGAAAATGATGTCATGGCTTTAGAAGCTTCTGATAGGCTAATTGACATCATTTGAGTCCATTGGAGGTGTACCTGTTGATGTATTTCAAGGCCTACCTTCAAACTCAGTGTCTCTTTGCTTGACATCATGGGAAAATCAAAAGAAATCAGCCAAGATCTCAGAAAAAAAATTGTAGACCTCCACAAGTCTGGTTCATCCTTGGGAGCAATTTCCAAATGCCTGAAGGTACCACTTTCATCTGTACAAACAATAGTACGCAAGTATAAACACCATGGGACCACGCAGCCATCATACCGCTCAGGAAGGAGACGCATTCTGTCTCCTAGAGATTTACATTTACGTCATTTAGCAGACGCTCTTATCCAGAGTGATTTACAGGAGCAATTAGGGTTAAGTGCCTTGCTCAAGGGCACATTGACAGATTTTTCACCTAGTTGGCTCAGGGATTAGAACCAGCGACCTTTTGGTTACTGGCACAACGCTCTTAACCACTAAGCTACCTGCTGCCCGTACTTTGGTGCTAAAAGTGCAAATCAATCCCAGAACAACAGCAAAGGACCATGTGAAGATGCTGGGGGAAACACGTACAAAAGTATCTATATCCACAGTAAAACGAGTCCTATATCGACATAACCTGAAAGGCCGCTCAGCAAGGAAGAAGCCACTGCTCCAAAACCGGCATAAAAAAGCCAGACTACGGTTTGTTACTGCACATGGGGACAAAGATCGTACTTTTTGGAGAAATTACCTCTGGTCTGACAAAAATATAACTGTTTGGCCATAATGACCATCGTTATGTTTGGAGGAAAAAGGGGCAGGCTTGCAAGCCGAAGAACACCATCCCAACCGTGACGCATGGGGGTGGTAGCATCATGCTGTGGGGGTGCTTTGCTGCAGGAGTGACTGGTGCACTTCACAAAATAGATGGCATCATGAGGAAGGAAAATTATGAGGATATATTGAAGCAACATCTCAAGACATCAGTCAGGAAGTTAAAGCTTGGTCGCAAATGGGTCTTCCAAATGGACAATGACCCCAAGCATACTTCCAAAGTTGTGGCAAAATGGCTTAAGGACAACAAAGTCAAGGTATTGGAGTTGCCATCACAAAGCCCTGACCTCAATCCTATAGGACATTTGTGAGCAGAACTGAAAAAGCGTGTGCGAGCAAGGAGGCCTACAAACCTGACTCAGCTACACCAGCTCTGTCAGGAGGAATGGGCCAAAATTCACCCAACTTATTGTTGGAAGCTTGTGGAAGGCTACCCGAAACGTTTGACACAAGTTAAACAATTTAAAGGCAATGCTATCAAATACTAATTGAGTGTATGTAAACTTCTGACCCACTGGGAATGTGATAAAATCTCCCGAGTGGCGCAGTGGTCTAAGGCGCTGCATCGCAGTGCTAGCTGTGCCACTAGAGATCCTGGTTCGAATCCAGGCTCTGTCGTAGCCGGCCGCGACCGGGAGACCCATGGGGCGGCGCACAATTGGCCCAGCGTCGTCCAGGGAAGGGGAGGGAATGGCCGGCAGGGATGTAGCTCAGTTGGTAGAGCATGGCGTTTGCAACGCCAGGGTTGTGGGTTTGATTCCCAAGGGGGGCCAGTATGAAAAATAAACTAACTGTAAGTCGCTCTGGATAAGAGCGTCTGCTAAATGACTAAAATTTAAAATGTAAATGTAATAAAATAAATAAAAGCTTAAATAAATCATTCTCTCTACAATTATTCTGACATTTCACATTCTTAAAATAAAGTGGTGATCCTAACTGACCTACGACAGGGAATTTTTACTAGGATTAAATGTCAGGAATTGTGAAAAACTGAGTTTAAATGTATTTGGCTAAGGTGTATGTAAACTTCCGACTTCAACTGTATTTATGTAGCAAGCTACAAACATGGAGCCTAACGTTAGCTAGATAGCTAGCTAGCAAGCTGCTAGGAGGAG